ACTGCAGGAAGAGAAAGCACGAGCACTGGATTGACCCTATAAGCATCTCTCCATTAGGGAGGGGCCCTGAGAGCTGCTCTTGTGCTGAGGTGCGTGGCTGGTGTGCTGTGGCCAAGGCAGGAAGGAAACTGCAGAATTCCATGAAGGAGGGAGGCTGCCCATGGACAGGTTCTTGTGTTGTGGTGCCCATAATGCTGGAGCACAGGGGACACTACTGGGATGCTTCCAGAACGGCAGTAGTCTGGTGGCCAGCATCTTGGAGCCCAGGACTGATGTGGGACAGTACAGCTGTGGTTAGGCTGGCAGCAGACTCCAGTTCAGGAGGCTCCTGGGCCCTTGTGGGTAGTCCCATTTGTAGGTTCCCACCCCGGTTGTTTGAGGTGCCCAGAGGATGCCAGAAGTGACCCCAGGAGGGGTGTTTCAGGAGCACTTGGTTCCCTGTCTGGCACCCGAGTGTTCTTTCTGGAGGTGGCCTGTCCCATGGGCCATGCTGGACTGCTGTGAGTCTAGAGCTGCTCATGCTTTCGGGCCTTTGCACTGGCCAGCCCTCTGCCGGGAGGGCTCTCCACAGATGTGTTTAGGGCTTTCCCTCCCTCCTCGGGTCTTTGCTCAGATGTCCCCTTCCCAGTAAGGGCTTCTCTGATTGTTTAGATTTGCACCACCCCTGTCCACACACTCCTGTCTTCCTTCCCTGCTGTATTTCTTCACAGTACTTATCACCATGTGACTCACTGTAGATTTTACCTAGTTTTTGTTTTTGGGGGAAGTCTATCTGCCCTACTAGAATGTCGGCTTCTTGAGGGCACGGGCTTGGTTTTGTTCTTTTCTGTATCTCCCGTGTCCAGAACAGTGCGTGGCACAGAGTTAGGTGGAACATACAGTTAGGTAGATAGAGCAGTGTGGTCTTGAGGGTACTGCATTTACCTTACATCATTGAAGCTGCTGGGAGGTGCTGGTGGAGGCCCTGTCGTTTCACATAAAGCATGTGATGGAAAAGCCGGTGTATGTGGTGTGTGTGTGTGTTTTGTCATGTTATTGCTATTTCAGAAATCCAGAGTTCTTTCTATACTTTACTTGGATGTTGATTTCAGAATGACTGGTTTTTCTTTCTGACTCATGAAGGCTGCTGTATTTTGAATCTGAAACATTAGGGGAAAGTGAAACTTTAAAATGTGTGATGCATGATTAGCTATTGTTACATTTCACTTTCTGTACCTGAATATTTCCCTCCCTGCTATCACAGCACCGTCTAAGCCGCCATCACCCTCCCCTGGACAGTGTTGCAGCCCTCCAGCCACTCCACCTGAGGCCGCTTTACCTGACAGCACTCTGTCTGAGCCCCCTCGCCAACCCACGCTCCAGCCCCACAACAGCCAGGGGTCTGCTCTGTACCCCCAGCACTCGGCCATCTCTGCCATGGCCACCCTCACAGCTTTTTTTTTTTTTTTTTTAAAGATTTTATTTATTCAGTTTTTTCCCCCCAAAGCCCCAGTAGATAGTTGTATGTCATAGGTTCACATCCTTCTAGTTGCTGCACGTGGGACTCGGCCTCGCGTTGGACGGAGAAGTGGTGCCTCGGGGCGCTCCCGGGATCTGAACCCGGGCCGCCAGCATCAGAGCGCACGCACTTAACCGCCAAGCCACGGAGCCGGCCCACACCCTCACAGCTTTAACCAGCTAATTCTGTAAATGACATCTGGCCTGTCACTCTCTTAGGATGTAGCTTCCTAGGGACAGGGACCATAGCTGCCTTATGGCCATGTCCCTGGACCCTTGCTAGCACAGTGGCCATGTTTGTTGAGTAATTGGGTTAATAATGTGGCTACTTTACCTCCTTTAAGAAACTCTGATGAGCAAAATGAGTATATATTTTTATGAAACAACAGGAAAACTGTGGCTTTGGAGAGTAAGGTGTACTTACAGAAGTTACTCCACAGCCTGAGTTGTCTGCGTTGGGCAAGTGAAAGCTCTTGGAGCTCCTGCTGACCCTCCCAGGACTGTGGACAGGGAGTTGTGGGATGTGCTGTAAGGTGGGGCAAACAATCCAACGTGCCTGCTGGGAGGGGGTGGACAAAGGGGCTGGATGAAGGGGCTGGAGAGGTTCCTGGGAATTGGAGGTGGAGGCAGATGGTGGCTGTGCTGCTGGCTGGTGTGTGTGTAGATGCAGGGCATCCTCTCTCTGCCCCCTCTCAGCCTGGCCCCAGGGCCACCTCACCACTCTCCTGCATCTCCGGAGCATGTACCCTGTTTCTCTCTTTTGAATGTGGCCAAGCTTTCTACTTTAGTGCTCACCCAACCAAAGCAGGCACGGCGCAGCTCAGGCTCCAGAGCATTCTGCACCTGTCCAGAGCATGCTGACAGTTTTAGCCAGCTGCTAACAACAAAGTAAGATGACTAACTAGTTTATGTTCATTTATACTAAGGTGGTGTGTGTCCCTTAACGGAGAGG